AATGTGATTTGATTGGATTGATCAGTTTTTAATATTATTTTAAGTATATTTAATTAGATAAAAATTAAAATATTAAATTATAGAAAACACAATTATAAAACATAATAATATTATAGACAATAAAATGATAATATCAACTATTAAATTGAAATAAGAATTAAGAAGACAACAAAAAAGAGAAGTAAAAATTAGTAAGGAAACTAAAATATTTAAACTCTTGCTATTATCACTTAAGAAAGTAGAGAGCTCTAAAAGTAGAGGTTTTGTTTGTATAGAGCAAGAAATGAAAATTCAAAATACAATTTTTTGGTACACAAGATAAAAATTCTAAAATTATATTAAAAATTTATTTTGTCAAAAAATTCTAAAAATATATTTAAAAAGATTAAAATATTTTAATTATTTTTAAAGTGGAAATGAGAATATTTTAATTTTCTCTTGTGGTATTTTATTAAAATGACATAATTTTGAAATACACCTAATTTGTTATAAGTTTAGTTGATAAATATTAATTTGAATATAACTGTATTATTAGATTTATAATTGATAGTTGATTTTAGGTTACTTAATATGAGATCATTTTTTTTCTTTTTAATTTACCTCATTTACATATTAAGTTAATTAGGTGGTTGGTGGTTGTTTGAGTTTTTAGATATTTATTTTAAATAAAAGTTTATTTTCATTTGGTATGATTGTAACTTTTAACTTTTAGCTTTAAATTTTAAAATTTAAATATTTTAAATTAAAAATATTAATTTATTGAATATAAAATTTTAAAATAAATACTTAAAACTCTAAATTTAATTAATTTATAAAAATTTTTAATTTTAACTTAAATATTTTAAAATTTGAAAATCAAGACAAAAAAACTTAAAAATACAACAATCCTAAACAAAACTTTAATATATTATATATTGTCTTGAGAAAAGTGAAGTTGATTCTTATTATAATTATAAATGTCACTTATCAATTTTTCATTTGTTCATTTGGAATTACAAATCGCAATTTGTTTCATCAATTTAAAATTTTGTTCTATTTTTAAGGAAACGATTACGGTCATTATTTAATAATTACTCTATACCTTTGCCTGGCCAAACTCTAAAATTTTTATTATCTTTATAAATAAATTAGAGTAACGAAAATTAAATTAAAATAATAACATTAAATA